GGTCAATGCCAGGCATTTCGTAAGGTGTCCAGGCGAACACCTCTATGTTTGTTCTTAAAAAATCTTCCAGTTCTCTTTTCTCTTCTTCGGCTAAGCCTGAGCCGAGAAGAAAGAAGCGCTCTTCGTCGCCCTCCTGGACGAGGATTTTCTTTAATATCTCTTCGCTCTTCTTGGCTGGTTCTTTGCCGACGTTTTCTAGTACTTCCATGTCCTCATCTTCAATTTCTGCCTCTTTTGGCTCTCGAACGTTGCAAGTAGACTTCATTGCTGCCATGGAGCAACTTTTTGCCTGCAGTTGATCTCCTCTGACTTGTTCAATCCCATGCTCTGTTGGAAACCGCAGTAGTTGATGCAATGTTGAGGGAACTGCCTCCATTGCATGCAACCATGGTCTTCCCAAGATGATGTTATATGGTGAAGGTGTGTCAACCACCGTGAATTCTGTCTTGATCTTCTTAGTGCCAGTTTATACTTCCAAGCTTGTTGCGCCCAGTGGCCACGTCGGCGTTCCATTGAAGCCGATCATCGGGCCATTCGATTGTTCCATGTTGTCTGGGTGAAGGCCTAGCTCCTTGTAACATCTAACGTACATGATGTCACAAGAGCTGCCTTGATCTATTAGGATGCGTTTCACTTGGCACTCCTCAACCTGGAGGGATACTACCAAGGCATCATTATGCGGATGCTGGACCATCTCTAGGTCAGCTTCAGTGAAGGCTATCATCGGTCCTTGGCATTCTTCAGGCCGAGGTCTTTTATGTCCGACCTGGTTCACGTGCTGCAGGTGTTTTACTCTTTGGGTTTCTCCCTGAATGTCGCTTTCGTTTACCTTTGAGTGAATTACATTAACTACCCGTGGTCCTCCTACCTGTGGTTGCTGTGGAGCTGCTGGTGCTTGAGGCAATCTTGCCTGTTCTTCTCTTGTCCTGGCCTCATCAACAAGGTCCCTCAAATGGCCTTGCTTTACCAAGTCTTCTAAGTGTGCTTTTAGGGCTCTGCAACCCTGAGTTGGGTGCCCTTCTTCATTGTGGTAAGTACAACGCCTACCAACGTTTCTTCCCATAAATTCCCCTGGTGCTCTCGCTGGAGCTCTGAAATAGGGCTGGTTTCGTATTTGATCCAAGACTTTATGGATCGGGACTCGGAATATAGTTGTTACTGCCTGTTTACCCCTCAATTCCGTTTCTTGTTTGGTTGGTCCATTGTTGCCTCGGCTTCGCTTCGGCGAGCCGTTTCCCTTTTCCTGTTTTATCTCTTTGTTTCCCGACGTGTCTTCCTCGGCTCTGGCGTACTTCTCTATTCTCGCCATGAGTTCTTCCATGCTTTTTGGCAATGTTTTTGCCAAAGATTTCCGTAGTGGGCAGTCATCTTTCAGGCCGTTCTTGAAGGACACGACCGCCACCTCTTGGTTGCAATCAGGTATTCGATTGAACACCTCGTAGTACCTTTTCGCGTAGGCCCTAAGGCCTTCTTCCTTGGTGATTCTTAAAGCCATCAGGGCGTCGACCCTCAAGGGCTGTAGTTTGTTCATCACAAACCTGGCCACAAACATCTCGGCCAGGCCTTCCCAAGTCTTTACGCTTCCCTTTGGTAGTTTATGGAACCAATCTGATGCAATTTCCCCAAAGAACGAGGGGAACACTTTACAGAGCAACGGCTCGTTCCCACTATATAATGCCATCGAATTCAGGTATAGCCCGACGTGAAAGTTGGGATCTGTCTTACCATCATATATTTGGAACCTGGGCATACTGAATCGCTTTGGTGCTTGAAATTTGTCCAGTTCTACCGAGAATGGTGTCCTCGGCTTAACCGGGGAAGTTACCTCGGCGTCAGCATTCTGTTGCCTCCTTTTGAGGTAATCTCTCAAGTCTTCTTTACTCCTTCCTGGAGCTTAGCTATCTCTAGATTTCAATCTCTTCGGCACACTACTTTCGGCCTCGTGGTGGGCTCGTTTTAATCTCTCTCCATGTGTTGTGTCAAAGCAAAGCGTCTGCCCTTGAACATGCCGATGTTCTTTGGGCTCTGGATCCTTCGTGTGATATGTTCTTCAAGACTCCTCTCGTCGGCTCCTCTTGTCCGCCTTCCCTGGAAGGTCGGTGAGAGTGCCTTCCGCTCCTGGTGTGCTGAGGGACTTTGGGGATTGTTCTTCTTCCTCCCTTCTGGGTGTTAGTTGCTGGCATTGGCGTATCCTGCAGCGGGTATGGTGGCTGCATGACATTGTTTTGCATCATGAAGTTGACCACTGACTGTAGGTCTGCCAACTTGTTTGCCAAGTCTTTTACTTCCTCATCCCTCCGTAGGCACCTATCCCTCCATACTTGAAGGTTATCTTCGTTATAATACTTGCTTTGGTCTGTCCTCTTCGAAGCGTCGCCCTCCTGGCCGACGTCTCTCTCTCCGTGGCCCTGGTCATGATTTTCTGTATTGTGGTTGTCTCCTTCAACGTCAAGGTCAATTGGTCTACCACTCCCAGCAGGAGTGTCGCCCCCAACGTTTTCCCTCTGTCCGTTACTGGCCATCTATTCTTCTAAGTTTCCCACAGACGGCGCCAAATTGTGTGGGTAATTTTCTGACCACACTGCCCGCTTAGTAATTAGCTGGAGAACACCGGTAGAATAGATGGTTTTAGCAAACCTGTAACAAAAAGAAAAGGCTCCGGCGGTGGCTCTTCCACCCGGGGGCACTCCGACGATCAAGTCAGTATATCTCTCAAAGATAATCAAGTGCTAAACTTACTACTCAAAGTATAAAACTGCGTACCTTAGACCCACGGGGGTGCCTTTCTTTTATAGTTTACTCAATCCAAGTCCCACTAAAAGCCTGACTTCTATAGACTCTAATTCAGTGCTTACTTTGGATTCCTCAAGAGATAAGGATAAACTCCCTAAAAGTATTATCCTTATCTTAGCTAAGTCTCCTCTTTACTCTAGGACTCCTGTCCCTTATATTTTATCCATTTATCTCGGATTCCGATATCTTCGAAAATAACCTCGGCCTTGCCGAGATAATCTTGGCATCACAACCTGGACACGTGGCATCTCGGCTGACATGTCGGCGTTACCTTGCCACGTGTTGGTATTTAGAAAATACATTCCCACAATATATATATTCCAATGTGAAGCAGAATACTGCAATTTCTTCCTTTGCATCAACTGTGCTACATTGCCGCAAACAGGTAAACACAGTTGCCACAGACACGTTCTTAGCCTTACGTAATCCCCGGTTAAAGATGATGATTACGGATATTATTGTGACGTTTGCGAGGAATTAAGAGACCCGGAGTGTGAAGAACCAGATTGTGGCATTACTGCTCATTTGAAATGCATTACGGGTCTCATGACCCTCGTATCAAGTTTGAGACCACTTATAAGCTTGATGCTCACCCGCACCCTGTCCAACTCGTGGAGATCAAACACAGCGCCTCTCGATGAGAGCAATGTGGTAATCATCAAACCAGAGCTGCAGTTGAATGTGCCATCTGCAATCTCATTATTGATGATATCCTAGAGATTGATTATCCCCATAGTAGCTACTGTCGATGCTGGCAGTCAGAGCCATAGAAATTTTGATTTTAGTAATCAAGTAACGGGGAGGTACCATATATATGTTACTTTTATTTCCAATGATGTAATAATGTTATAATCCATTTTATGATCTTCCAGCTTTGTTTCAGTTTGAGTAGGCATTATGTGTCCATTACCTAAGAGAATACGTCATGAACACCCATTGACACTGCTCAAAAGCCAGCCATCTTTGTCTGCGATGCCTGTGGCGAAAAACCCCAAGGCAAAAGCATGTTCTTTTACCTATGTATCACTTGCCAATTCTGGGTGCTCCCAAAATGTGCTTTACTACAAAGCAGCCTTGGGCTTGTAAATTGAATGCTCTCTTAATCTTAGATTGGCCTTTTCTTTCATTTTTCGTTATGTGGTGGTGATTGACTATGTAACAGAGGTCGTAGCCCTCAATTAATTGTCTAAAAGCTTTCAATTCTGATGGTAGAGGAACCACCGTATATGCAAGTAGCAAGCATTGCACAGAGTTTCAGTAAATTTGAAAGATTACATAAACTCACTGAGGCAAATCAACGAACAGATAGTACTCATAGATCATGTTTGATTCACAATACTAATAGTGAGGTATTAATAATCCTATCAAATTAGTGTGGTATTAACTATCCCACCCCTACCCCATTACTAATAATCCTACAAATTTGTTGGATTAATTATCCATTGGATTAATAGTCCTAAACCAAAAAAGATTACATAAACTCACTGAGGCAAATCAACAAACAGATAGTACTCACACTGGATAACTCCAACAGTCCGGGAGTGGAGCGTAGGGGTCTCTTACAAGTTACATTGTTAGTTTTTTTTTTTTTTTTTTTCACCTAAAAAAAAGTTATATTAAATCCCGTTTATTTGACGGATTAAGTTGAATGAAATTATTAATATGACAAAATTAAGCGAATGAATTACAAATATACATATATTATATTAGAGATGTAAGGCCATGTTTGATTCACAATACTAATAGTGAGGTATTAATAATCCTATCAAATTAGTTTGGTATTAACTATCCCACCCCTACCCCATTACTAATAATCCTACAAATTTGTTGGATTAATTATCCATTGGATTAATAGTCCTAAACCAAAATGTCAAAACAAACATAGGATGATTGGACCCACGGATTAATAATCCTAATGCCATGCTTTAATCCTTCCAATCAAACATGCCCTAAGATAAATTACGTCAATTTATAAACTATATAGTGATATTAGTGGTTATAAAACTACTTTAAAGCCCTTGTCATATATAAGACAACTTCATTATTTTTATAACGTGAGGGGCAAAATTGTACTTTTACCTCCAATCTAGTGCCCTCTGAATTTCATAGTCCCATAAAACTCTTTAATCCCGTAATATTTTTTTAAAGCAAACATAATTTTTGTGAGCTCTCTCACTACTAAATCAATTGCATCACTTGTGTCCCAAAACAAACATGCCCTAAGTGGCATCCCACTAGTAGAACCAATCATTAGTACCGCCATAAAACCAAAGCAGCAGATCCTAACCCACCACCACATGATAACTACCATAGCCTTAGCCTTAGCCATTCAAACCAAGATTCTTTGTGAATAATAACAATGGCCATGCAACACTACTCTCATTCCCTTCACAGGACATGTATCACACAATCGTCCAGTGACCGGAAAGACAGCCTCCGGGAGCCAACACCACTCCAATCTCCGGCCCAGCAATTCGCACCCCTAGCGTCGGTTTTTAATCGTCGTCTCGTGACCGGTGTCGGGACAGCTTCTGTGGTGGCTCTTGGAGCTAATTTTGTGGGGATTACAAGTTTTCTGCTAGGATTTTCGCCGGAGAATGGCCGGAATTTGAAGCTGGATGTGCTTTATCCGATTGGTGGTTATAGTCGTTATGTCCAAACAAATGAAGGGTTTGGTTAGTAAGTCCTTATGATTATTTATTTTTTTAAATTATGTCTTTGAAACTACACTTGATGAATCAAAAATTAAAGATGGATATAATTTTATTTGATTTTCTAAGGTTATATACATCAAATTTATGAAATTCTACAGGAACCAATTTTATATATTTTAATTTATTAGAAATTAGAAAATAACAAGGAAGTGTTTTGTAAAAAATTTGATAATTTTGTTTATCTCTAGCATTACTCCTTTATTTAGGGTGGATGAGGATTATTTAAGTTGAAAACTACTAATCTATAGGTGGAATTTAAAAGAACTTCTCCCTAAATTCAAGGTAATTAATTTTTAAAATTTATTGAAGTTGTTTTTACCCAAGTTAAGTAGAAATTATGGCAAATGGTCTCCACATAACCCAAGAGAAATAAATAAAAAAAAATTATAAGTAACCAATCTAAGCTGCAGCAAACAATACCAACATTGTGGTGGTACTGATTTTAGGCTTGTTATCTCCCCATCGATTATTATAAAAAAAAAAAAATTCTTTGGATAAATATAGAGATTTTTATTGATAAATCCTATTTAGAAGTGTTCTAACCAAGAAGTCCATGAATGAATTTTTTAACCCACTTAGTCCCATGTATTTATACTTTTATTTCATAAAGTCATTTTTCTTGATTTACACTATTTTTTTAGACTCTTATGCCCTTATATTTAATATTAATATTTAATATTGGGGGAGGGGAGAGAAGGGAAAGGACCCACGCATAGGTTATTTCATACACAAATTAAATAACATTGATGTTATTATTTTATATTATTATATAATGTGAATATATTTTTAATTGACAACACATTAAAAATAATGTGAACATTCTCTCTCATCTGATATGAATATATTTTTAATTGACAACACATTAAAAATAATGTGAATATTCTCTCTCATCTGATGTGAACGTTGACAACACATTTCTAAAAAATTCTCTCTCATTTAATGTAGTGATGTGAACGTTCACAACATGTGAATCTTCTTATTTTTAATTGACAACACATTAAAAATAATGTGAACATTTTCTCTCATTTGATGTGAACGTTCACAATACCTTTTCGAAAAATTCTCTCTCATCTAATGTAGTAATGTGAACGTTCACAGCATGTCATATTTTTAATTGATAACACATTCTTATCCACAACATGTAATGATGTGAACGTTCACAACATGTAAACATTTTCTCTCATCTAATGTAGTGATGTGAACGTTCACATTCATATGCTTTAGTATGAATATTCACATCATGTAATTGATGACACAATGGGAAAAATTCATTTCAAATTAATGTGAATATTCACATCATGAATATTCACATCATGTAATTGACAACACGATGGAAAAAATTCATTTCAAATTAATATGAATATAATTACAGTTAACATCCTGATGCATAGAAAGTACCAAACCATAATGACAATCAACATTAAATATCAACATTAATAGGGGATTTTTTAACCCACTTAGTCCCATGTATTTATACTTTTATTTCATAAAGTCATTTTTCTTGATTTACACTATTTTTTTAGACTCTTATGCCCTTATATTTAATATTAATATTTAATGTTGATATTTAATATTGGGGGAGGAGAGAGAAGGGAAAGGACCAGGCATAGGTTATTTCATACACAAATTAAATAACATTGATTCTATTATTTTATATTATTATATAATGTGAATATATTTTTAATTGACAACACATTAAAAATAATGTGAATATTCTCTCTCATCTGATGTGAACGTTGACAACACATTTTTAAAAAATTCTCTCTCATTTAATGTAGTGATGTGAACGTTAACAACATGTGAATCTTCTTATTTTTAATTGACAATACATTAAAAATAATGTGAACATTTTCTCTTATTTGATATGAACGTTCACAACACATTTTCGAAAAATTCTCTCTCATCTAATGTAGTAGTGTGAACGTTCACAACATGTCATATTTTTAATTGATAACACATGCTTATTCACAACATGTAATGATGTGAACGTTCACATTCATATGCTTTAGTATGAATATTCACATCATGTAATTGATGACACAATGAGAAAAATTCATTTCAAATTAATGTGAATATTCACATCATGTAATTGACAACACAATGAATAAATTTATTTCAAATTAATATGAATATAATTACAGTCAACATCCTGATGCATAGAAAGTACCAAAAATAATGACAATCAACATTAACTATCAACATTAATAAGGGTAGGAGAGATTGGGGGTGTTTTGGTCTTCTTACCTCAAATAGAATCTAATGGAATAGTAAAAAAGAATATGAATTGGATGGAATAAAACTCTTAGAAAGAAGATTTATCAAAAAAGCTGCCATAAACATATTTCTTGTTCAAAAATAAAAAATATATATATTTAACAATTTCAATATTTCTTTTTAACCTTGTGAACAACAGAGTTTATATACCCAGCAGCCTGGGTAGGAGATCAGACACTGTTGAATAGAGCAGTGGGAAAACTAGAGAGATCACTTGACCCACCTCTCCCAAACAATGCAGCACCCGACGACCGCCGTCGCCGGAGTGTAAATGAGCCGGTGGTGGCATTCGGACCGCCAGGATCGAGCGGTGAGCTCAATGTCAGTGTCATTGTCTCTCCTGTTCCTCTTGATTTCTCGTGAGTACTACTCTGAATTCAAGACTTCAAAATGTCATAACTGTTTGTCTTAACGTGCTGTTTTAAGTGTTATGTAACAAGTATTATGAACTTAATGAGCCCAAAGAGAATGGTGAAAGCATCGTTTGGCAACTTTGTCAGTTTTTTGAAATTTTATATTTTCTCTTATTTTCACAAAACAAATAATATGTTAAATACTATGAACATTACAGAATCGAAACATTCGGAGGAGCCAAGGAAGTCGGGGAAGCTGTGATTCGTGCAATTATAGGGTCGAGCCGACAGGCTGATGTAAAAGCAGTACTGATACAATCAAACTTGAGAGAGGACACAAAGAGAAATGTGAAATACTATGAACTCGAATACAGAGTTGGAAGCCCGTCCTTTCGACGACACAACATGGCTGTGTGTTGTGCTCAGGGTGGAAGGTTGTTCACTCTGAATGCACAGGCACCAGAGTCAGTGTGGCCAGAGGTGAAATCAGACTTCTATAGAATTGCTGATTCCTTCAATCTAACATCTTGATATGAGAGAGAGAGAGAGAGAGAGATGTTTTTCCTTTTCATGGAACAATGTTTTTGCCCTAATTATGTTCATCATACATAGAATCATCTCACTTCCTAGAAGCAGTAGTTGTCATTGTTTACATTGTTAATCTCAAGTTTTGACTGAAAGTACGGTAGGAAGTAAATACAATGACCGAGGTGAAATGTGAAGCCCTGTTTGATTGTGGGATTAATTAAGAGAGAATAAGAACTGACTCGGCAATCGGGCATACACTCTGGCAGTATTGCATTTTGGTTGTCAAATTGTCAATAGGGAACCAAGGCCATGTTTGTTTAGGACGATTAGAAGGGTTCCAAGTGGATTAGAAGATACGTGGGGTTTACGATTTAGATTTTGTCCCCTAATTCAATGCTTCCCTCCAAATTATATTTCCTCCATCAAATCGTCTAAAATAATCCTTCAAATCTTAACTCATCTTTTATCATACAATTTCATGATATATATAAACTTGTTTTGGGAAGTATGATAAAAGTTGACTTTTTAATCCCCCCTCCTTTTTTTTTTTTTTTTTCAAAAAAAAAAGTGTAAAAAAGTCAGTGATATGATAAAAAAAAAACTAAAAAGTCAAAAAAATGATTTTCAGCTGAGTTGTCAAAACAAGCCATAATATCATCCAACAATCTCGTAGTACTAAAAATAACATATGAGATCCATGAAATTACTTTTACTTTATTAGTCTCCTGATCTAATCTCCTAAACAAATATAACCTTAAATGGGATGACAACTAATGTCATCCCCCATGCCAACTATGTCCCGGGGTTTGGAGATGCTGTGCTCAAAACTGTGACATTTTGAATGCTTGAATAAAAGTTATTTTCGTCCAAACACCGCAACGGTCTTGACGAAAATAGTTTTTATTCAAGCATTCAAAATGTCACAGTTTTGAGTACAACAGTAACTGCTGTGCATAATGCATAATAGTTATCCCCAAACCCTCCTCTATGCTCTAAACAACTTTCAATAAATTAAGTTGGTCATTTCTACACACTTGGAACTAAGAGACGAGAATGTTGATTATTGTCAAATATAAAAATTGATTTACTTTGTTTGGTTTTATTTTCTATATTCAATTTTTAGAAATTTGAGTTTTTTATTTTTCACATATTTTTTTTTTTTGTTTTTAGTAATTATTTTTAAAATTTTAGGCAATTTTTTTTTTTTTTTTAGATGCATAGCACCAAACATTTTAATTAACATACATAAATTAAAACTTACAACTTAAAATAAAACATACATAAATTAAAACTTACAATTGTTTACTGGAATGAAGCAAATAGTTCTTCAAAATACATAACTTGAAAACGAATTTGAAAATATAAAGTTACTGCAATAGCTATTTTTCTTGAGAATGAGCACTCAAATTTTTCTAACTCTGCCTTATTGTTGACTGAAGAGGCTCTTTTATAGACATAAGGAGTTTACTGTGAGCCTTATGAGGTTTACTGTGAGTCTTGTGAGCGAATCTGACTAAAAGAGGCACATGGGAGCCAGCTGCAACTTTTGGTGAGTGACAAAAAGTGATGGCTACCTTTTACTGTTCTGAATTTGTCGGTTGGATACATTATGATGAATGATGAATAGTAATGTTGACTTTTTGATGAATAATGAACAGTAAATTTAACTTTTTTCACTATTCATTGGAGGCATGTGACTAGGGGAATCAATATATATATATATATATATATATCAGCAGCTTTTCTTAAAAGAAGAGTATTGATTAAAGTTGATAATTATAGCTATATAGAATCCAATGACTGAATTAAGCATATGGGTCCTGAGCATCTTGGAACTGGGGCCCATAAGGATCCTGGTTAGTTGAACCGGAAGAAGAGTGTGCACTATTTGAACCTTCTTCTGAACTGTTTTCATCAAATTGTGACTTGGCTTGGGCCATGAGTAGACGGGCTATCTGCAGAAGCTCATCTTTGGATGACTTGGATTTGACTTTGGGCTTAGCCTGAGATGATGATGATTTTACTTTGGATTTGGATTGATCAGACGTGGGCTTTGTTGACTTGGGCTTGGAAGAACTAGAAGTTGGGCTTCCAAGGTTGACTGGAGGAAGTTGGCTTCCTTGTGTTATTGAAGCAGTTGGGTTTTGCTGAGCTTTAATCATGGCAGGAGTAGGAGCATGGAGGTTGACTGGAAACTCAGTTTGAACTTGTTCAATGATGTGTGAAATTTTGAAATTATCCCACCATTTAACAGAGTGTCGGCGAAAGATTAAATCATCAGAAATACCATATTGCCATTTAAATATCCACGGGACTTTGTATTTGGATATAAAAATGAACAGTGGAGGAAATTTCTTTTGTTGTGGACTGAACAAGAAAACAGTAGAAAAATAATTGACTTGTTCAATCATCATGGAGGGGAAGATATCATTAATAGCCCCATATTGAGTCCACCAGCGTCGAAACCAAGTGGGGAATTCTGACTTGAATTTATGATCAAATTAGAGGAACCAAGAGTGACTGTTTGACTCATTTTGATACAGGAGAACTTCGAACCTGGCATCAATAGAATCATAATAACTATATTGTATTGTATGACCAGGTAAATCATGGGGTTGGAAAGGAGAAGCCCATTCATTCAGAGAGACAATAATGTGAATGTACACTAAATGGTACACAATCTTACTAGTGTAAGTCTGATCATAAATGAGTTTAATAACAATGGACTGATGATTAAATAAGATGTTTTTGTAATAGGTAATTGACTTTTCTAGATGAAGAGGAACAAAATGCCATCCTGGAGGAAAATATGATTTGACTAGGTCAAGAATAGTCTGATTATTTTTGTGACTGGGTTCTTTGAAAAAGAGATTAGTGGTATGAGATTGAACATAATCAGAACGAGTAGATTTAATAGGGTTAGGAGGGTAAGGCGTAACTAACTGAGATGAAGACGCAAATGGATCAGTGGCTAATGCAGAGGTATAACTAGGTTTAGGAATATTACCAAGGACTTGGTAACGGTTGACTAGTTCAGCGGGATGGTATTTGACTAGGTCCAAAGGAGGAACTGGTTGACTAGAAGGAACAAGAGCCTTGCTAGAAGGTCTCAAGAGTCTTCAGGCAGACATCTGTGAATAAAATAGGTAGACTAAAATTAGCATCCAATGAGGATATCGAGCTTGCTTAAATGATAATCAACACAGTTAATGTAGTGAGCAAGTGAATGACAGAGACTATGAATTGTATGAAAACGAATAAATTGAGCACATTTAGTGGATTTTTTGGCTAACTTGAGGCAAGCAATATGGTGAGCAGTTTGGTGAATGAGTAATCGATAATGGGTGACATGTAATTTATGGTAGGAAATAAAAGGAGTTGCCATCCTCTATCCCCCTTGTAAAAATTTTCGGGTAAGAAAGTCAGGAATATAATTTTGACTACCAGGTATATATTCAATATCAAAATCAAAAATATTTAAAATAGATTGCCAACGGGCAAAAATTTGCTTACTAGCAAGATTTTGAACATCTTTTTCTAAAACATATTTAGCAGATTTGCAATCAACATGAAGTAAAATTTTTTGATTTAAGATATCATCTTGAAATTTACTAATACATAAAACAGTAGATAAAATCTCTTGTTTAATAGTACTATAATTTTTTTTCTGCTTTATTCCAGACACCAGAATGGAAACGAACAATTTGTTCAGATGGCTGATGGGTGAGTTTCTGAAGCAGGATACCACCATAACCAATATCAGAAGCATCAGTTTGAATAATTTTGAAGGATTTTTTGGCAAGAATACCAAGACAAGGCAAAGTCTTGACATATTTTTTGACTTGTTGAACTACAAAAGTATGGAGAGAAGGCCAATGACGAGGATTATCTTTTAACCGATCAAAGAGGGGTTGACAAGTTTTGCGAAGGTCTTTGTAGAATTCAGCAATATAGTTTAAGGAACCTAAAAAGCGTTGTAACTGATTTTTATCTAAGATTTCATGAGGAAATTTAGAGGCAAATTCAATAGACCGACTAATGGGAAGAATTGTACCATGGTAAATATCATACCCTAAAAAGTGGACTTTAGTTTGGAAAAGTTTAATCTTAGGGGCAGAGATAACGAGGCCATTGTATTTAATGAGGTGAAAAAAAGCATTAAGATGTTTCCAATGTTCATATATAGATTTTGAGAAAATAAGGATATCATCTATGTAGACAATAGAAAAATGACTAAAAGGATTGAAAATTTCATTCATAATATTTTGAAATTCACTAGGATCATGTTTTAATCCAAAGGGCATAACATTCCATTCGTAATGGCTAAAAGGAGTAGTAAAAACAGTTTTATAACGATTATTAGTATGAATTTGGATTTACCAAAATCCACTTTTTAAATCAAATTTACTAAAAATGACGGCTTGACTAAGTCGTTTAATTAAATCTTTTTTATTAGGGATGGGATAACGAATCCATTCTAAAACTTTATTTAATGGTTTATAATTAATGACAAGACGAGGGACTCCTCTTTCTAGTTCAACATTTTTGTTAACATAAAAAGCAGGGCAAGACCAAGGTGACTTACTATGACTGATAATTTTATTGTTTTATAGTTCATTAATTTCTTGTTTGCACATTTCGACTAACTCATGGTTCATTTGAATAGGTCTAGATTTAGTAGGTATTTGTTTTTCATTAAAATTTTTAATATATGGGAGTGTAACTACATGTTTTTTCCTATGCCAAAAAGCACTGGGTAAAGTAGAACAAACAGTATTTTCTAATTGAGTTTTAAAATGATCAATTTTAGAGATTAAAAGAGGATTAATTAATTGAGTTTCAATTCTCTTATAGTTTACTTCTTCTTTAAGAAATTTAAGGTGTTTAGTTAATCGATTGATTGTTTGAGAAATAGAATAATCTTTTAGTTGATGTAATTCTTTGACCTCAGGAGGTGACAAAAATTTAAATGTAATTGTATGACCAAAAGCTTGTGTAGTGATTCCTTGATTAGTTGTAGTAAAGGGATATAATAGGAAAATAAAAGGGGTACCTAAAATAACTTTATCAGTTACATTTCTAACTAAAACAAAGGATGTTTTAAAATAAACATTATCTTGACAAATATGTACTTTGGGTAATTTATATTTGATATGCATTTGATTTCCATTGGCAGAACTTAATTGTTCAGTAGTTTTGTGGTAATATTTGGTTGGAATTAATCATTCTTGAATACAATTTAAATCTGCACCAGT